GTAAGGTTTCTTATAAAGTGACTATTAAATTATTAGTGACTTCTCATTAGGTTTCTTGGCGTAGAATTGTCCTTGAACCTTTTTTGATACATTGAAGTCTCTCAAAAGTAAAGTGCTCAAATATAAGATTTAAATTTGATTTATTACTGCGCTAAACTCTTATATAGCATTTATTTCTATAATTATCGTGCTTTTCACATTAATGTGATCAGCAAATTCATGTATCACACCGGGAATCAGGAATCTGGAAAAAATGCCAGTATATGATTGGTTAAAAATTATTTGATTGATTTTTTAGCCAATCACGTACTGGCATTTTTTCTAGATTCCTGATTCCCGGTGTGATACATGAAATTTACTGATCACAGTAATTTGAAAAGCACGATAAACCACTATCGAGAATTTATTTTATTACGGATGATTAGAATTTATTATATTGCGCCATATATAAAGGTTAAATTTAAAGCGCAATATGTCATATACTTCTAAGAGACAGTAAATAAAGTTAAATTAAAGTGCGATATTATATACTTCTTAGTAACGATAAATAAAGTTTAATTTAAAGTGCGATATGTCATATACTTCTAAGCAACAGCAAATAAAGTTGAATTTAAAATGCGATATGTCGTATCTACTGAGCATTTGAATTTTTTGCTTATGCTCTTATCCTACACCCGGAACCCATCCGGAATTTTTTTCTCACCCTTAAGTTCCTCTCTGCTTTGCTCCGGAAATTAGTAAATTTATTTCATGGTTGAAAGTAGATTCGCGGAATTGAGTATACGTATAAAAATAATTTGAGTAATTAACCATAACGATCCAAAATTTTTTGTATTGTTATTACACTAAATAGAAATCGTATATTTTTTAGTCATTGAAAATTGAGGATGCATTTTGCAAACCCAATTCCGAAAGCTCGCCGATATCGACACTATGGCATTACGGCATTGCGGCAAACAATACGGCACATGCCGTTGCCGTATTAATTTGCCAAATTAATTCTACCACCAACTATAGTTCACGGCAAGCAACTCTAGAAATTTCCTCATCACTGTAATTCGACTCTGATTCAGATACATGTTGTTTTAAATCTTGTAAACGCCATTTTACAAAACGGTTACTGTCCAAGTACTCTCTTACGTGACGATCCAATTCCATGATCCTAATAATAATGATCGTAATGATAAGCAAGTAAACATATGACAAACCCTAAAACAAATATAAATATATTAAAGGACGACCAAGAAGCATTTTATTTTGGGGCGCCTTCCAAAAAAAAATCTACCAGGAAGTCCGCTTAATATATTTAAATATTCTTTTGAATGGCTATTAGACAAAAGAAATCATCCAGAATATACAATTTTACGACATCCTAAAAGAAAAACCTTTTGTCTTCTAACAACCCTTTATAAAAAACTTTATCGATTCCTATTATAGAACCGGTAGGCCTTATAAAGTTCAAAAGAATATAACCCCCACATAATGTTCTTATGAAAGACTATCCAATAAAAAAAATCTTCCGGAATGTACAATTTTACGACACCCTTAAAGAAACTCTACTTTGTTCAATATATTAGAACAACCCACAAATAATTTCAAGGACAATTCTACGCCAAGAAACCTAATGAGAAGTCACTAATAATTTAATAGTCACTTTATAAGAAACCTTAC